GCTTTGTCTCAGACCCTGGAATTCTTTGTGTAGCAGTTCAATGAGGTTAATGCGTGCATCGAGTGAGGAGAGTGTGGTGTTTATGTTTGCAAGGAGGGGACCAACCTGGTTGCTGTCGGGGGGGATATCCTCTGTGTCTGTGGAGGAGTTCCTGTGGCGCTTGGCACTGGGGGTAGAGCTGGTCGAAACACTCGTCAATGTAGTCCTCAAGCGACTCCAGTGTACAGAAGTTTAAAAATTTGGTAGTAATCCGATTTCTTAAATGTTGGTTGTGTTATGCCGGCAAGTTCAGGGCGCCACCATGTTGCCGTAAACCCTCCGCTCCTGCCTCCTCTCGCACTCTATTTGAGTGTTTTCTAATGGTTGTGTTGACATTACATTTTCCTCCGTGTGCCTTGACTGATGACCGTTTTTGAAATCAGAAGAAAGCTATTGAGTTTAAAATAAATCTGTTAAAATGTATTTATTTTCTCCTGGTCCTTATTTTAAATAGGTTATAAAAAAAATTATCAATAATTATCGTAATCGATCAATATGAACCAGCTATATCGTGATATACTTTTCGGCCATATCACCCACCCCTATTCTGGAAAATCTTATTTTGGCTTAATTATCATTCAAATAAAATGGAGCAGCCAAGGATGTAGCCTCCTGTGTGAGAGGGCGAGTCACATGCATCAACCATTGTCTTAATAATCTGGCCAATAACATCTCAGCAGAATATCCTGAGTCTTCTGTATCTGAGGGAGACTTGCTGAGTTTTGACTGTTTCACCCACCTTTACTTCTCTGGTAAATACTGAGCTGTAGACTGAAGATCGTCTTCCACTACCTTGCACCTTACAAATTCAAAGTCTTACAGAGGATTTTAAACTGAATGTCTCATCCTACTGGCTGATCTTTAAAGATTAACTTTGAATCTATTTAACCTTGTGTTATCTTTCTGCTCACTTTGCAATGACTTTGCTCCCAGGTCAAACTGACCCAGGTTTATTTGGCTGTTTATAAAGCTTAAAGTATAAATCATCATCCAATTATGCATTTTATTTTTTGCATGTGTGTGTGTGTGTGTGTGTGTGTGTGTTCGTGTGTGAATGTCTCTGTTGTGTGTGTGTTGTCTGGAAAGAAGCTCTGATCCATTATGTAGGCAAAGGTTGTTTTTGAAATTTAGTTTACTCACCTGTAGTTTGAAGTTGTGCTTTTAAGTGCGTCTGTGTGCGTGCATGTGTGTGAGTGTGTATGCGTGTTGGGTTGTGTGTGTGTTGTCCAGAATGATTCATTATGTAGGCAAAAGTTGTTTCTGAAATTTGGTTTACTCACCAGGAAGGCACAAGGTGTTGCTAACTTGAGTAAAACCATGTACCACAACATGTCAGTCAGGGATACACATATTGATGATGATGAAATTAACAACTCTGATGCTACAGTTTCTCACCATTTTACATGACAGTTTTGTTTGTCCTGCAGAAAATAATTCACAACATAGTTTCAGAAGACCATTTCCTGAATACAGTAGGCCTTCATTAGCCAATGAACAAATGTGCTTGCTGATAACATTAGGAAAAATATGTGACACCAGTATAGTAGGTTTTTGAGAATACATAAAACAGCAGTTTAGACAACTGAGCATTTCTTCACTATGGGCTGCAGGTCTAAAGGATGCATCATTAATATGGTTACAGCATTTTTAAGACTAATCTCTAGTATAAGCATCATATGTGTTCAGTATATTTCATCAAATAAAGTTTTTAATAAACAAGTAACTATTTTATTGTATGTGATGGCTTGTATCGATTTGTGTCCATGTAGCAGTGTGCGTTGTTTATTGTTGAGCTCAACAATAAAGTGAGACACTGCGTAAATGTAAGTGTGCGGAAATCTTTTTCTACCAGTCTGGACTCATTGATGTTTTCAGCACCAAGACTGAGCCGGGTCGAGTGGTAGCTATTCTACATTACCTTTTTATCAGAATAAAAACATCTTGAGTTTGTTTTGCATTCCAGGACGTCAGCTGTTTCACATAAATACACACAATTACAAAAACACAAGACAACACATAAATACAAAATAACATCTAACCAAACAACAAAATCCATGCCGATGGCACACCTGTAGACTTTTATCAGACTTTTTATGAATCTGTTAAAACTCTGTTGCTTAATGCCTTCAGTTATTCATATGGGGAGAGAAAACTCACAAAAACTCAACAGGAAGGTTTGATATCACTGTAGTTAAGCAAGATTCATGTGGAAGGTATAAGGACCTGCTTATATTAATATAACTAATTATATTACAGTGTGAAAATGTTAGCCAAATGTCTTGCAAATAGATTGAAAAGATATTATCAAATATAATTCATCCAAATCCACAAGGTAGTCACATCAGTGATAATATCAGACATATATTTATTTCATTCTTTTAGCATTTGATAAAGTTTGCTTGGATTTTATTTATACATTTTCAGAATATTTTAATTTTGGAGACTTAATTATTAGTTTGTTGACAGTAATATATTTCAATGTAAAATAACTTGAAATGCAAAATATTAAGCAATGTTTTTTTTTTGGACAAAAACAAACAAAACAAAAACAAAACAATAAAAAAACAACAATTAGCATTATAGAGGACTAAAAATGCACAACTATTTATTACAGCAATATGTATTTAAGGTCAAAACACTAGAATGAATAAAACAATAGGTCTGAAAATAAATGGTTAAAACCAATTTTTACTGTATGTGGATGATTTAAATTTTCAAATTCAACCAAATGTTGCTTACCTTCCCAGTTGAAGAACCTTTTCATTTATTTCCAGACCACCTCCCAACTATGATAAATGTGCTGTGCTACAAAGTGGAACTCAAATAACTCCAATGGAAACCTATCTGCAGTGATGACAAAGTATAAAGAGCAAGAAAGTGCATGCAGGGAGGGAGGGGTGGTGGATGGGTCAAACAAACAAGAGACTTTGACTCAGGAGACCAGTGTTCATGTCCCATGTAAAATGTTGAGATTTTTTAGCTTGGTTACGTAGTGAATGTCACGTGACGAACATCACGACATAATTGCAAACTAACTTAAGAAACACAACAAAGGCTCTTATTTTAAGCCACACCATGATTTGTTTTCGAAACATAACCAACTAGTTTTGTGGCCTGTGTCCTGTGAACACAGACATTTATTTTGAAAAGACTGCCTGTAATGAGCAGTAATTGGCACGCTGTCCCTTAGCTTTAAAAACTGAAGATATGTTTGGAGATTACTACATCCTGATCTGTTTCTCCTAACACCCCCCTAAGGAGAAATAGGATATAGGTTTGGACAGAGCTTTGCTACTCCTTTGACCACATAAAGCACTTGCACATTACTTGTTATATTTATCTATACGGTCATACAGGACGACTGCTCTACTGCCTGAGCCACAGCTGCCCTGAAATAATCACCAGGGGTTCTTTTGCTGTGGTCACTGGCTGCTCATGTGTCTCCATAACAACCGTATGGAGCTACAAATAGAAATTATGTCGATCTCAATATTGTCTAACTTGGTATTTTAAGTATGTCTTATTTATTTCTGATAAATGATTTGGGCACAGTAATTTAAAAGCAAGGGGTAGAAAATGTGTGGAGACATCAAGGAGAACCGACCATAATGCACAAAATCTTCATCTGAAATTTAAAAGAAATGCAAATAAAACACTTAAACAATCAATACAATGTGCACTGAAAAGGAAAATAAAAAGTAAACAGCGAAAATCACAGTGCCATTTTACTCTGCAAATGTACACTTAACACCTGTTTCAGCATAGGCCCAATAGTTGGGTGTTCACTTAACACTGTCAAATTATAAGATATACACTCCAAATCTGAAGTTACAATTTGAAGACTTGGAGGGTGCAAATGTACTCTATAATTGTTCTTTTTTGACACTGTATCAGTGCTTTACAATAACTGCAGTGTAAACCTAGAACCCTTAGTGAGTACAAAATATACATGTACATTTTAAGAAGATTATTTATTTCTGTAATTTGTCTTTTAATTGCTTTCCTTGCATGTAGTTGTAAAGAAACCTCTGACAAGCCTGTGAGCACAGCAAAAACGATGGGGTGGGGGGGTGGTTAGGAGAAACCAACCTGGTCTCACTCCAAAGTTGTCAAAATCTGGCGCATGGTAAGTGATTTCCGGTGTCGAAAAAGAGCCGTCCTTTCACATCGGCATAATATGCGGCTGATAGCGGCCATTGTTTAATGGTGCCTGGCAGCATCAGGGGGAAAAGCAGTTGGACAACAACATAAGTGTAGGGCGAGTAGGGCGAGGGCGAGGGGTGGTGGATGGGTCCAACAACCACTGACTCACCTAGGAGAGTGATGTTTGCTTCCCGTAAGATTATAAAGCCACACCTTGTTCTTTTTTCCTAAACCCAACCACATGCGTGTGCTGGCATTTTTTGTTTAAGGAAAAAAAAACATTAATTTGCAGTGTTGTACTGACGTGGAGTTTATTTTGAAGGAGACTGTATGTAAATGGTACATTTCCTGTGAGAACAGAAGTATATTTTGAAATCAGACAATTCATGTAACAAGCTGAAGTTAACATGGCGTCCCAGAACGCCAACAACCAATGCAACCAATATGTAATGAGGTCCGAGTGAGAATGTGTTGGAGAAACAGATCAGAATTTAGTAATCTTCAAATAGGAAGACGATAAGATGATAGGACAAAGAAAACACTGTGGGGAGCAGCCAGTTTTCCTCTGAGGAGACAGGAGGACAGCCATTTCTCAGGACCTGAATTTAAGAAGTATGAGAAAATGGTCAAAATCTCATATTGATAACAAATTGAGCTCAGTTATTTCTCAGAGAAAAAGAGTTGGACAAAGACGAGATCTGATTTTGAATTTTCCTTTCCTCCTTTTTAAAGTGTGTAAAAATTCTTGTAGCACAATAAATGAAATGGAGAAAAACACACAACCAAGGGTACTGTATTAATTTATTATTCTCTTCTAGTGCCAAACACAAGGAGGATTGTCCTACTGGGAAAAACTGGAGTTGGAAAGAGCAGCCTGGCTAACACCATACTGGGAGAGGCTAAATTCAAAATAAACAATTTGAATGATTTGGAAACACAATGTTCTCCTGCCGAGACCAAAACTATCAATGGAAGAAGCATCACTGTGATCGACACTCCTGGTTTCTTTGACACAGAGAGATCTGAGAAACGTGAGATAGTGAGGTGTATCACAGAGTGCGCTCCTGGGCCTCATGCTTTTCTCATTGTGCTTAAAGTGGAGAAATTCACAGAGCAGGAGAAGGCTGTCATCACGCAAATATGTGAATATTTCTCTGAAGATGCTCTAAACTATGCTGTAATTGTCTTCACTCATGGTGACCAGCTCCCTGAAGGAATGAAAATGGATGAGTATGTCAAGCAAAGTGAGGGTTTGAGTGGTCTGGTGAAGAAGTGTGGAGGCCGATGCCACGTCGTCGATAATAAATACTGGAAGACCAACAAAGAGGACGAGTACAGAAGCAACCAGTTTCAGGTGGAAGAGCTGCTCAAGACCATAGACAAGATGGTGATGGAAAACAACGGAAGATACTACACGGATGAAAAGCTACAAGAAGTGGAAAGGAAAATACAGAAAGAGGAGGAGCGCATTAGAAAGTCATCAGAAAACTTGTCAGCGGAAGAGATCAGGAAGCAGGCCAGAAGCAACGTCTTTAAGAAGCAGGTGAACAATGGAGTCTGGGCATGGATTAGAAGTTTAGTGGGTTTTGCAGTTGTAGCTGGATTACTTGCAACTGCCTCAGCTATGTTGATCAATTCAAAACATTTTAGGGTATTAAGGGAAGCACCACTATTAAATGAAGAATTAACAGCACCAGCATTGGCAGAAGTGGTGAAAGAACAAGCTGAGGCAGCTTTAGGCATGTCTCCGCCAGCCAGTACAGTAGGACACTTATTTGAGTTTTTGGACAAACTTTTCAAATTGTTTGAAAGAACATACAATCCTACAAATCCATTTGAATGAATAAAATAAAACAGCAGGTGTCTTCAAAGAGGTTCAAAATGACATATGACATGACATGTTGCAATCCTAAACAGCTCATTTAAAGTACTATCATTTTTGCTGAACGTGTAAACCAATGGTTCTCAACCAGCGGTCTGGGGACGCCCACTGGTCCTTGAAGGAGTCCCATGGGTCCCCAGAAAAATGGTAAATAGATTATTTCAGCCGGTTCCCATTCTGAAGTCATCACATACTGCTGCTTTGTCAGTGATTTTGGCATATGACCACCTTTTGTATAATGCACCACCAGGCAACATCAGTTTCACATGTGGCCAGATGGCACCTTTCCCAGTGTTATGATACGCAACTGGTCAGCTGGACAGCATCTTTTGCGGCAGCATGATACGCTGACATGTGGCGTCAGTTCATAATGCAGCTGGATGCAACTGGAGTGGTGGTTTGATACCCTGCTGTATGGCGACGGGTTGAAACGCTGCCAGTAACAATGTAATATAAGGAGCTGGAACATCCCTGTAGGGTGGGTGGGAGTGGTGGTGGATGGGTCCAACAAACCCCGGACTTTCACCCTGGAGCCCGGTGTACACTTCCTGAATGGATATAGAGCATGACAGTTTTTTTTTCTAAACCTAACCACATGCTTTTGTTGCCTAAACCTAACTCTGTACTCTTGATATCCCACGTTGGTTGTGGCGTCCCGGAAAGTCAACAGCAGACAAAGGAGGATACCTAGCTCGTAATATGTAGACGTGAAAGGCCACTGACAGAGCTACGATATGTGATGACTTGAGATGAGAACATGTTGATTATTTTCATTGTTTAATTCACTCTAAAAGTGAGCTCAATGTGAGAAAGAGTCATAAGAGTAACTGTTGTGATCATAGGTTTCACTTCCTCCATGGTTATCTCCTCAATTACAGAATTCTCGTCCTAATCATATTTGACAACCAAAACCTTTTCAGAAGCCAAATCTTATCAAATTTGATTCCAAGACCTAATGTGTATCAATTCAGGGGCCCTTGACATGAAAAAGGTTGAGAAACACTGGTGTAAGCTACAAAATGAATGAAAAAATCAAATAAGTCATTGCATCTGTGCTTTAAACTTTGTACTAGTTCCTGTCAACTGAAAAGAGAGCCACTTTGAAGCACTGAGTGAATAAGCAGGGGTAGCAAACAATATTCAGACAATGTATTAGAAATGTAAATATATATGTTTCTGGCACATTCAGTTTGATCACGACTCTAAAATAATTGTTGGGTCATGGTGTTTTAAAGGGGCATGTCAATAACTGTACATGTGTAATTCAGTTTACTCGTCTTATGGAGCACTACTCAGACTGTAAAAATTGTTGTACGATGTCTTCCGTGTATAGAAGAGTTTTCAAAGTGTGAAAAATAATTGTTTTTGCTTGATACTTAAAATGCTCGCATTACAAACTGGAGGTGTGGGGTTTAAAGATGTGGACATTTAGAGGGCAAGGAGTGCCTTTATTGAAAGACTCATGACTCATACTGCAGACAAGAAGTCTGACGATCTCTGTCTCTGCTTTGATTTTTTTTTAAATCGGTCTCTTGTAAGTCCTCAAAACTTTATAGAAGTGCAATACTAAATCATGGGTGTACCCTTTAATGGTGATGATTTTCTGTTTTCTCAGTATATTTTGTGTTAATATGTGTCATTTTGTCATAAATGATTTATGTAACAATAAAACCTCTGACTGGTCATAGGCTTTTGTTTTCTTTTTTCATAGAATCCTCCACATGCGCTGTCAAAAGATAAGGCTGATGATACTCATACTTTCTTATAGTCAAGAAATTCCATTAAAAGACCAAAACCAACAATAAATTGCTTTTGCTAAAAAGACTATGCAGCCAAAACCTGATATAGCCTACAGAGCTCCTTTGCTGGCCAAAAACTATGGGAAACCGTTGCGGTGGGTGAACTGTTCCTTTATCATCCCGACCACGGGCACTGTACTTTATTTTGAGTCAACCCCACATACCGTAAAACTTCAATTAGTTTAAATTGCTGAACTCAACTGACCTTTATTTGGGACAGGCCTTCAGTTCCTCTCACACAAACTGTTGCTCAGCAAGGATGGGAAAACAAATTGTTTATTTGTATCAGTATGAATATTACTTGTTTAAAAATTAGGCTTCAGATGACATACTAAGTTCATCGATCCAGCTCCGACAGAAAAGGCATCAAAGAGACAGTGAGTTACGGCACCTGAGGATTATGGCACCAGGCATACCGACACACTACCACTTTACCCTATTAAAACAATACTCACAACTTTCAGATTCTTTTGATCTGAGGATCCTTAAGAACTAAAGGAATATGAATAACTCAAAGGGTAATCAAGGCATGGAAACATAATTTGAGGTAGTCGACAACCCAGATTTAATACATCTGAAGAACTAATACATCCATATCTAATGGAGACATGCGTTTATTTGTCAAAATGTGTAGCCACACTGGGCTAGTGAAAGGGACTGGCATCTAATTGGGACTAGGCTTTTAAATTAAGTTATATGGTACATCATCCTGCTGCTGTAAATACTTACAAGAGCAACAAATGGGTATTATATTATTCTGAAAATACAGAAGTCCCCAATAAATGAACTATATGCTCCTTTTAAAGACCCTTTTGATATAAAATTGCCAAGGAAAGTTAATAAGCCTTTTGTACAAATTACACTTTATTTATTACCTTATTTTAAGAAATCTTCTGTGGGAACAAATGTGCTCGGTGCTGATTGGATCTGTGTTAATGTGCCACAAACATGGTAGGGAAGGTGTTAAATGGTTTTATTATTTCTTAACAAATAGGACCCAACATTTTAATTTTTAATCATTCTTTTCAGAGCACAGGTGCTACATTTAGAAGGCTGCCACTGATCATTGAGAACACTTTATATTAAAGCCTGTGCCTCACAGTGTCATTGTGTTGTATGAATGAGGTACTAATCAAATATTTACCTGTTCCCACTGGTTCTTAACTGAAGGTGCAGTAGCAGATAAGACTATGGGGAACAAGAGAGTGATAAATCAACATTTTAGAGGAAAGGAGAAATAGTAAATACTGGCTAAATCAGTGGTGTAGTGGTAGCTGATGAGGAGGGTGCACTACTAAGTAGATGGGTAGGTTTCAGAGGTGGAAGTGGGTATACCTTCCCCCACACCATTGGGCTAAATATGTAACTGGAAAACAAAACCAGTGTTTGGGAATAAAGTAGTGATGGCCAAACGAAGCGTCATGAACCACTTTCTTTATTTTCTGACCCCACCAGATGGCAGTTTTGGTTTAAGGATAAAGGCTGAAGGACTGGCAATGAATTGTGTTTTCAAACCTTTGTTGAACACACAGCGCCATCTGGTGGCTTCAGAAAATAAAGACAGTGGTTCATGAGGTCTCATTTGGCCATCACTACCATAAAGTATTAGGCTACATAACATTCATAAGCAGTGGGCAAAAGCAATGTTTTTTATTCTGTAGTCAATTCAAAGAACAAAAACTGTCAGCTAAGCTGCCTGTAATTTAGGTTGATGTTTAACCCATAGAAAATGTATTTTCCATTCAAATAAACAAAGCAGGACAGTCAGACCATTTTTCTGTGTAACATTGCCATAGCAATTGCAAAAATTGTAGTGGGCTAACTTCCATAGAAACTTCTGTAGAAACAAACCAACTTGCGGGAAGTCCCAAACTCAGGTGAAGTTTTGAATTAATGACCAAACAAGCAGTGAAGTGGTCACGTTACGTTTTCAAATAAGCAATCACTTACTTTTTAAAATATTATTATCACAGTCATTTGCCTGTTTCTTTTGTAGCCAGTAATTTCATGTTTGCTGGAACATGATGTAACGTTACTGTTGCTGCCTCTGAAGAATGAGTGCAAGCTAGACATGGATGTCTCTGGTGGCATCATTTGTGTAGCTGCAGGCAAAGACAGACATGCATGCACATGGCTATGTACCCACTGTTGCTTGAAATATAAAACAATATTGGTAATACTGAATACCAATACCATACAATGCAAGAGTGATTTGCAATAATAATAATGCAACACATTTTCACAATAAACAAACCAACTTAACTCTGACAAGTAGCTGAGTCATCAGTAGCAGGTTGCCTGCCATCTTCCTTACCCCTTATCATCACGACTGTGACTGAATGAGTAATTAAACCCCAGATTTTGACCTTAGTTCTTCCTCCCCCAACTGTGACGCAGTGTGTCAATATAGGGGGGGCTGGGAGGGGGCTAAGACATGCCCAGTCACTTAATTTTGCCACCTCTCGACCTGCAGCCCCTCTCAACCCCCAGAAATACACAAACCAAACATAAACACAAACATAAACACACACAAGCGTACTGATTAGCAAAGTTGGCAATGAGCGATGATACCAGCTCTGTTCTAATCAAATGTAGAGCTCTCTCTCTGTTTGCTCTGTGTGTGTGTGTGTGTGTGTGTGTTCTGACTGAGTGAACATTGGTAAACAAAGGCCTACCTGATCAACACTAGCCATACATGATCAAACTGTTATTTTTCTGGTATGTCATTCTTCATGCCATCTGCATATGTTTTATTTAAACATTTGCTGATCTCAGCAGGATGAAGGATCTCAGCACAGAAACTTTAACTGTATTCTGACAAAAAAGCAAAGAACCTATGTGCAAAAATTAATAATAAAATAAAATTGAAATGAATCACACTCGTGCCTTCATGTAGGCCTAAATGATTATAAACATGACAATGTGTATTACACGGAAGTATAAACACTTAAACAACAGATTCACATAAATAAAAATAAGTAAGTATAGCCTACATAGCATGAAATGTGCAATGAAATTCACACTTTAAATGAAATATTAGGAATTCCCTCTGTAAGTATGACTGTTTTCTTTGTAATTTTTTTTCCAATAATAAACAAAATTGATCAAAAAAAAAAAAAAAAAAAGAATTCCCTCTGCAGCCAAACAAATTTACCCTCTAGAAGCAGACTCAATAGGTCCCAAAATCATCTCTCCTCCTTTCATTTCCCTGAAGATATTGCTGAGCACTAAAATAACAACATTAAAGATATTGACCTACAGTCTAGAATGCTGTTATTTTACATTTAGCCTACTTCAGGTAAGTCCAAATGCCTTCTTATTATTGTCAGACTAGCTACTCAACATTACAAAACAAATATTTGCCACATCTGGGAAAGTCAACAGGCAACAGGCATAGGATATTTACATCTTTTGGTTCTTGAAAAAAAACGCTGTGATTATTTTTCTTTCTTCTCTGGCTTCATGTGGCAGAAAAATCACCAGCTCAGTCATTAGACAGTTGTATATGATCACTATGGTTACCACTAAAGGCACAGGCACAGCTACCAACTCCTCTTAGGACCCCGGGGTCGAGAATCGTGCCTTATGGTGCGTTACATTTACATTGGAAGTCGGAACTCAGAGCTCCAAACAACGTAACCTCCAAACTGAGTGCTTCCCAGTTTAAAAACTGGGACATGGAACATGGAATTTGAAAAAAAAAAAAAGGACAGTTAATGAAATGAAACGAAAACCCCAACGTTTATGCTTGTAGATGCTAGATTTCAATGCTTTTCCGACTTCACAACTCCGACTTACGAGTACAACTGAACGCACCATTAGTCGTAGCACAAACACCGGGCTATCAATGGATCAGCTGTGCATTGTTATTAACCGAGAATTACGTGGAAAATTGAACACCTTGCTTTCCCAACTCAGCAAGGATCTGCTCCAGCCTTTCCCCTTCTTGAATCGGTGTAATGTGGATTGATCACTGACAAGGCTACTGTCGCTGCCATTTCAACTTTGTGCTGCAATGTCAGTTAGCCTAACTAACAGAACACTGATCCTCTTTTTTACCTATGTGTGGGGGGACAGTGGGGCGGACGCATCAGGGTCACTATAAATCTGGGGGGGATATGTCCCCCCCGTCCCCACTGCCATCTGTGCGCATGTGTGTGAGGTCATGCTATACTCCAGATGAAATTACACCTCTAGTTCTTCACATAGCAATTTTTTTAATTCTTTCAATCTAGAAATGATGAATTTCGCTTATTGCTCCTTTAAGCTCCATGAAATGCAACAACACTTTGCCCCGGGAGAGTCAGCGCACTTCGATAAGAAGGGAGTGTCTGGTGCTCCTCATCCTCGCACAGCTGCGCAAAGATTCGTTTGTTGACTGGGTGAGCTTTAAGAAAGTTTATCATTTTTACCACAGTCCTTAAGAAAGATTAAGTTCAGGTCTTCACGGAGATGTCTGCTTGCCAATGTGTGCCTGTATCATGCAATGAAACACTAAGCAGTGTGGTGACTTCTCCATCAAGAGGCTGTTAAAGCCCTCATTTTTCCCCATCATTGCAGCGGCTCCAACTGTGCAGCATGCAACTAAATTATTATAGGGAATACTGTGCTTTGTGTGGTACGTGTCAACAACCTTGAAAATATCATCTCCTCTTTTGGTGGCTGTGAGGTTTACAGACATGAGAATGTCTTGTTGAAGCTCACCTTTCTCAATGTGCTGTAGCCAGGCTATAAAATGAGTATTGCCTCCTCCGCCACAGTGGTAGTTTCATCCAGCTGGACTGCAAACGGACTTGTCAGGATTTTTTCGATGAGCGTGTTCCCAACATTTCCTGCCTTTGTGTCAATTTTGTCATTTACTGTGTTGTTGGACAGTGGTACAGT